GCAGGCAGCTAGGGTGGGCCCACTTGCCGGGAGCCTGGCAAGAGACCTCATGGTCCCCACTTATTGCTCCCCTCATCTCAGCCAGCCCCTCTGGAGCTCAGGTGGGCAGAAGGGCAGGTTTGTAGCAGCGTGGGTCAACTGGCTCAGACCTCAGGGGGAGGTGAGCATAGATCTCTAGGAACTAGAGCCCAGCCCTCACCCCATGGAGAGCTGTGGGGTGTGCTGAGGCTAGCAGCTGCCTCCCCAGAGAAACCCAAGTGCAAACTAGAACCCACATACTTGGACACAGAGTTGGTCTCTGACCAAACACCTCCACTGTGGCACTGGGGATGCTGGCGTCTAGCTTGGTCCCAGCCCCACTCTGGCTTGGTATGCCTGGGGCTGGGCCGCTGGTCTGCCCAGTGCATCAGTGTGGATCAGCAGCCCCTGGTAGATGCAGAGCATGCCGGGTCCAGGTAGGGCCCAATATCATCTGCCCCCACCTGGACCCGGCAGACCAGCGGCCCAGCCCCAGGCCTTGGAGGCCCAGGAAGAGCCACTCTGACCCCAGCTCTGTTCCCAGACCCTGCCCCTGTCCAGCATTCAGCTCGACTGTCCCAGAGGCCTCTCATCTGAGCCCAGCAAAGCCATCTGCCCCCTCCCCATTCCTCCCTGAGGCCTTCCCAACTTGCAGTCTAGGGCAATGCATGTTGGCTGGCTCAGCAGATGTCCCCAGTGGACTCAGACTTTAAAGAATGGTGATAATTGCCCTAACCGGTTTGGCTCAGTGGATAGAGCATCGGCCTGCGGACTCGAGGGTCCCAGGTTCGATTCTGGTCAGGGGCATGTACCTTGGTTGTGGGCACATACCCAGTAGGGGGTGTGCAGGAGGCAGCTGATTGATGTTTCTCTCTCATCGATGTTTCTAACTCTCTGTCCCTCTCCATTCCTTTCTGTAAAAAATCAATAAAATATATTTTTAAAAAAAGAATGGTGATAATCAATACAGCGACCTCTATGGAACTATCTCACCTCACTGGCCCCACATGCTTTACGTGCCCACTACGAACCGCCCTGACACCTGGACCGATGGCTTCTTCTCAGGCCTAACACAGGAGAGTGCTGTATAGGTGAGAGGACAGCCGGCTGAGAGAAGACAAGGTGACTCTTTAGCTTCTGTAGTCTTCCTGGTGGTTGCCTCAGCCATAGTCCATTCATTTGTTCATTCCATAAACACTTACAGAGCACCCACTGTGCGCTAGGCCCAACAGAGCCTGCAAATCTGGGCAAAATACAGTCTGCTTTCCGAGGTTTCCAGATACAGTGGATGTGACGTGAGCGCCCAATGATGGAGGATATGACAAGTGCAACAACAGACTCGTGACAAAAGCGCTAGAGGACCACTGAGTTGGGGGAAAGCTGCCTGGCAGCTTGAAGGGATCTTAAGAGTGAAAAGAGTTTTACAGAATGGACATGCCACGTGGAAGAAAGAGAAGGAGCAAAAACAGAGCCACCAAAGCAGACTGATTGCCCCACATGGTGAGTGCCTGGAGGGTAGGACTGGAGAGAGTGATGACAGGAGGTGAAATAGCTTCTCGCTCCAAAAGGCCCTGAATGCCGAGAGGCTTGTGGAAGGAGACTCGTCAGACTGGAGTGACTCATGAGGGTCCGGGCGAAGGAAGGGACTCAGTCCACCGGCCTGGTCAGAAATGGAGCCAGCGGAGCTGTCAGGCAAAACGAAACCCAGGGGTTTGGGTACAGGAGGGTATGGGGGGGGGTGATAAATGGTGATGGATGGAGACTGGACTGGGGTGGACAGATGGTCTGTTGTAGAATTGTGCACCCGAAACCTGTGCATCTTTGTGATGGAAGTTAACCAAGTTGCCACCCCCAATAAATTCCAATAAAAAAGA